AGGCTTTTTTTAAACAAGTAACAAAATCATCCAAAGCACAGGATTTGGTGGTGATGGGCGACTTCAACTATCCAGACATATGTTCGGAAACTAATACCGCAGGGCACAGACTATCCAATAAGTTCTTGGTCTGCATTGAAGACCTTTTTATTTCAGAAGGTTGAAAAAGCTACTGGGGGGAAGCTGTTCTAGATTTGATTTTAACAAATAGGGAGGAACTGGTTGAGAGTTTGAAAGTGGAAGGCAGCTTGGGTGAAAGTGATCATGAAATCATAGAGTTCATGATTCTAAGGAATGGTAAAAAGGAGAACAACAAAATAGAGACAATGGATTTCAGGAAGGCAGATTTTGGTAAGGTCAGAGAACTGGTAGGTAAGGTCCCATGGGAAGCAAGATTAAGAGGGAAAAACAACTGAACAGTTGGCAGTTTTTCAAAGGGATATTATTAAGGGCCCAAAAGCAAGCTATTCCACTGCATTTCACGAGGAGTAACGGTAGTTCGAACTAGGAAGCCTAGTTCGAACTACCTAGTTCATGCCCTGTGTAGCCGCGCTGCACGGGGTTCGAACCAGCGGGGTTTTAAAAATCGCGGCTCCCCGCTTATGCAAATGAAGCCCGGGAAATTCAAATCCCGGGCTTCATTTGCAAGTGCGGTATGCCTACATTACCCTCCTAGTTCGAACTAGGAGGGTAGTGTAGACATACCCTCAGATACTAATCAACATAAATAAGGAGAGGATTTAATTCTCTGTGGTGTAGCTGCAGAAAAGAATTAAAATAGACCAGTGGTCCCCAACCTTTCCAGGTTGTCGGGCGCCAGGGGGCGTGGCCGTTCACCCGCCAGGCGCCAGGGGGTGGGGACACTTGCGCCCCGGGGGCGGCCCCCCCCATAGCTGCATGCCCGGGGGCGGCCCCCCCCATAGCTGCATGCCCGGGGCCGGCGCTCCCCCCGCCAAGCGCTGCGCGCCCGGGGCCGGCGCTCTCCCCCGCCAGCGCCTGCCACAACAGGGCCCTGATCTCAGCCGAGTACTACAGAAAAGAAACTAGGGGTCATATTTAGACCACAAGCTAAATATGAGTCAACAGTGTGACACTGTTGCAAAAAAAGCAAACATGATTCTGGGATGCATTAACAGGTGTGTTGTGAGCAAGACACGAGAAGTCATTCTTCCGCTGTACTCTACGCTGATTAGGCCTCAGTTGGAGTATTGTGTCCAGTTCTGGGCACCACATTTCAAGAAAGATGTGGAGAAATTGGAGAAAGTCCAGAGAAGAGCAACAAGAATGATTAAAGGTCTAGAGAACATGACCTATAAAGGAAGACTGAAGGAATTGGTTATTTAGTTTGGAAAAGAGAAGACTGAGAGGGGACATGATAACGGGTTTCCGTTATCTAAAAGGGTGTCATGAGGAGGAGGGAGAAAAATTGTTCTCCTTGGCCTCTGAGGATAGGACAAGAAGCAATGGGCTTAAACTTCAGCAAGGAAGGTTTAGGTTGGACATTAGGAAAAACTTCTTAACTGTCAGGGTGTTGAACACTGGAATAAGTTGCCTAGGGAGGTTTTGGAATCTCCATCTCTGGAGATATTTAAGAGCAGGTTAGATAGACATGTGGGATGATCTAGATGGCACTAGGTCCTGCCATGAGGGCAGGAGACTAGACTCGATGACCTCTCAAGTCCTTTCAAGTTCTAGTGTTCTATGATTCCAATGCGCCACATCCTCCAAAGGGGTGATACAAAAAAATCAGAGCTCTTGGACTGCATGTAAATCCCCATCCGATTTTACCGAGTGCCATTGAGAGAGCTCCAATAATCCATCCAAATCCCTGTTTGGGGAAATGAATCCTGGTCCTTACATGCATTTCCTCCTAGTGTCATTTGGAGAGGTTACAATCTTCATGCCCTAAGCTGCCAAGAAAGGGTGCTGTTAAGCGTACATCATACTCCCATTCCAGGGAACACTGCATTTCAAACATAGGTTTTCCATTCCTTTTGTTCCTTGAGGGAAAAATGGATGGGGATGGTAGGATCATATAAAGTGTAGTTTTAGGGATAATTGTATATATCTGTAAGAAATAGTGACGGATGATCTGCCTCTGTAGTTTCAAAGAAAACTTTTTGCAGAAATACATATTTCATCAGGGATAAATAAATGTAACAGAGTGTCTAAATAATACATTCATAGAGTGTCACTCCAGATACTTGGGCTCTGAGCCAAAGCCCATTGATGTAAATGGAAAGCTCTGATTAAGCAAACAGTAGCGCTGCAGTTCTTTTTAATGCAGGCACTAATTTCTCGTCTCAAATCCCCATGATATTGCACAGCATCTGTACTTTCCCATGGCAGAGTCAGTGCTGAGATCAGTAGGAGTTCTTTAGCGCTTTTTATTTTTCATAGATTTTAAAGCCTGAAGGGACAGTTATGGTTATGTAGTCTGCTGACCTGCTGCATAACACAAGACATAGGACCTCCCTCGGTAAATTCTGCCGCTAGCCCGTAACTTCCATTTGAGCTATTTCTATATGATAGATAAATTGAGGAGGGGGGATATGGATGACTGTATTATAGGGGAGTGTCTTATTGCTGCTGGATGGCATGGGAGGGCAGAAAAGCAGGAAGGGAGAGTGAGATTGAAAATTGAAACATCTACTGAATATCCAGATTAGTGCCTGGATGGGAGATCGTTTTGTCTCGACTTTTTTTTTTTTTTTTAAAGGATGATGTAAAAACTAGAATTGTTTTGTAAGACTTAAGAAGCCATTTATAGAATTATTCCATGCACTGAAAATGTTTCTCTTCTTTCCTCTTTGTGTATCTAAATCTAGGCATGCTGCTTGTAATCCAGAGAGCTCAGACTGTGTGAATGGTGTGATTGTGCGATTGGACTGGATCATCTGAAATGCTGAACATGGTTTTGTATGTGATGTTCTGGACTGTGCTGGACTGTGCTAGGAATAACTGCGTGGGGTGAATGTCACTTTGACACATTACTGTAAGATAAAGACTGTCTAAAATGACTTATTTTCTCCATATTATAATTTTTAAAAGTAGCAGCTGTTATTTTTCCTGAAGTTCACAATGATAATTCAAAATTTCCCAACAGAAACTGCATTAATCCAAATCAATACGTTAAAGTAGTCGGGTTTGGATGTTTCTAATGAATGTAACTTTCATGGTATCTATATCTGGCTTTGATACTATATAGTAGGCAGTTACCTCAAGCTTGGGTGACATTTCTATTTTAGATTTAGTATTCTAGTTCCAGAATGATGAGCTATTGGTGTCATTTTAACTGGCATTCCTTTAACTCGATGGGTAAATGCCTTCTGTCCTGAAGCGTCAGATCTCTGAAGACCATGCTCTGGGTTACTGAACATCCTGTTAATAAAATCTGTTGTTCAGACATGAGCTCCCTCTGCAGAAAAAGCCATGGTTTGTGTTGGATCAGAAGGCTGAATTCCCTTTGTTTCTGTCATGTTTCTCTTTTATTTTGCAGCTCATGGTAAGAATTTTATCTGTCACTAGTAAGAATTTTATCTGTCTTCTTGAAAACGTTGATCTTTCTAGCATCACTGGGGGAGAAGGAGTTATATAAATTCAAATGAGGGCATTGCGGTTATATGTGCCATCAACTTCACAAACAAGACCCCATGAAATAATAATGTTCAATTCCACACCTGACAGATTTTCACAATATTCGTATTTTCAACTGTGGCGCTGGAGCTTACTCTCGTCAGCTCTCTCAAGCTAAGCAGGCTCAAGATAGGTCAGTGTTTACATGGGAGATGTCTTGAGAGTACCCAGATGCTACAGGAAGAAGAGTGAACCAGTATTGAACTATTGTGTTTTCTGGTGTGAAGGGCACTTTGGAATGAGAAGAAATGTCTTCTGGCTATGGGGCAAAAGAAAAGTCCTGTCTGGCTAGAGCTGGCAGCAAATTTTTTTTCCCCAGTGGAACATTGCCAAAAAATACCCAAACCCTTTCTAAGTTTTCACTGGGGAAAAAATGGGAGGCGGGTATTTGAAAAAAAAAAAAAAAAAACCCACCCCAAACTGAAAATATTCAATTGCTGGGCACATGGACAAAATGTCCCTCTTTCTGTTTTTCTGTCAAAAAGACAACTAATTCTGTTTAAA